ACCGCTGCCACCAATGTAAGAGCCGCAGGTTTCTCTCTCTTTCCTGCCACCCTTATCTTAAGCCCCGTCCACACGATCGAGCAGTGCCCGGCGGGCTTTGCCTGTTTACCGGGCAAAGTCTGTGTGTTGTGTAGTGATGGGTTGTCAGACCACAGCTTACATCTCAGAAACAGTCCAGACTTGACCCGACATTAGGGGGGTCAAGTGTAAGGGTAACCCTCGCGGCTGCCCAAGGGTTATAAATCAACCAGGCTCCCCTCCACATGTCACACGGCCCCAACAAATATGTAAGACACACAGTGAGCAAAGGAGCCACCTGCGGTCCTTCCCCAATTTACACAAGGAACCTACAGTACATCCCAGACAAGGCCCAGACCTATCCTCACATTAACCAGGTAAAATGTAACCCTCGAGCCCAAGTCAAGGGGCCACAAATCAACCAGAGCCTCTCATGTCACACGGCCCCACCAACGATGTTAACAGACAAGCATTCATCTGAAGATTTCTCCAGAATATACAACAACTTATAGTCTCTGAAAAAGTCCAGACCTGACCCTACATTAGCGAGGGCAAATGTAAGGAGACCCTTCGCCGCCCCCCGGATCAGCTCAACCTGACGTCTCCCAATATATAGGACTTCGTAACCCTCCCTCGGGGGAGAGCGAGAGAGTGTGTCTTGTAACCAGGAAGGGCCAGCAACGACGTTCCCAGGCCCGCTCGAGAGGAGTCAGAGAGGACCGGAGGCAGTCGCCTCCGGTCAGGAGCGAGACTTCCCTCCGGTGCCCAGCTAAGCAGTCTCCCATAGAGACAACCCAGGACCACAGGCTAGGCCTCCCCTAGGTCACGTGAGATTTTGTCAGAGCTTTCCATGGGATGAGTTACTTACGTGGGAAGTGTATTCATTTCATGTTCGTGTCCGAGAATCAGAGTGTCTAGTAAGGTAATATGATGTCCTAGTAACGTAAATATAATGTCCTAGTAACTTCAATAGAAGGTGTTATTAATGTGTCCATGTTATTGTCGTAATTATTAAACAGTTGTAACGAAGCGATGTTTGAGAAGTGGTCCTTAAGAACGTAATAGATGTGTGTTGACGCATAAGATAAGATAAGTGTAAGTCCAGTTCAAATAACTAACATGGCCACGCTACCAAAGTCTTCCTCTCTTTATACTCTCTTACTAAATATTCTATTCATGTATATGTAATCTTTTTCTTGTGAGATTTGTCTCATTATAGTTGTTGTACACACAGGGGTGGTTGGCGGCAGTCATAGTCGGTGCCTGTAGCTAGTAGGTGGTCGGCAGTGGCGAGTGCGGTACGATCACCATGGTGTGTCGCAGGAATAATCGCCGGACAGTTAAAGCGAAGAGGATAGCGTTGTGTACTATAATAATTGCTGCTATGTGCAAAAAGAAGAACCAAATGCAGAAAAGGGAATGGTGCAAAGAGTGGTTAGGTCGAAGAAAGGTATTGGGAAGTCATGCCACGATTTTACGTGAAATGCAAGATGGACATGAGCAAGACTTCACCAATTACATGAGAATGGACCCCAACACCTTTTACAAACTTCTAGTGAAAGTGGAACCATATATAAAAAAAACAGGATACCAATATGAGGGAGAGTATATCTGCAGAGGCTCGTCTAGAGGCAACGCTCATATATCTTTCAACTGGGTGCACCTACACGTCACTTCAGTATAGAACTAGGATATCAAAACAAAGTTGTCTGGCATAATACCTGCAACTTGTCAAGCCATGTATGAAGTACTCGAGGAAGATTACTTGCAGGTGATATATGTAGTACATAAAAAATTCATTGAATAATGTTAGAATTATGATATGCATAGACAGGAAGATATGGGACTAGAGTGAGGAGAGCGGCAGGAACGAAGAACACACAGAGTCGTCGCTCCATATCAGGCAGCAAACCACCAGGCAGGCAGACCATGATTTCGCTCAACGACGGGCATGGGCACTCTGCTGGTTTGCCTGCCAATTATGCCCGAAAACGGGCATTTAGCGGGTGCCCGCTGGGCACTGCTTGATCTTGTGGATGGGCCTTTACTCATACTTTCTTGTCTTAGTTCTTTCAATGATTACTGCATAACCTCACCTTTTTTTGGTAGCATGTCGAGGGTCTAGGCACATGGGTATTGTAATTCTGATATAAAGTCACTTGGATGTAAATAAAGGTGAAATACTGTGAGGAAAAATGAATACAACTAAAATACTCTAAGAACAGGTTTATTAATATGAAATCAACGGGAAACAGATATTTTTAACATATAACTTCAAGGTGCAACTCCTCGGCTTTACTCAACTGCAAATGACTCAGATCCTGTGCTCTCACTGCACATAACCTTACTGGTGTTACATTACATTACATATAGTTACATGACAACTCCTTGCAGATTACTTTACTTCTCACACCTACTGGTGGTATGTGGCAGTACAGTACAATTACAAGGCTTTACTCATAGTTCCAAGTGGACAACTTTACTTCTCACACATTACTAGGTACTTTTCATTACATCCAATTATAAGACAAACTTACTTATGACACTTCACAGACTGTTGGTAGTGCATAGGAGATGCACTCACACACAACACGTTAATACTGATACCAACAAATACATGGGTCCACTACCCAACATGGTTTAATTATTTCCAATTAATTATCCTCAAACATACTATACAACAAACACTGTGGGCTATATAACTCCAATGCATTTCCCCAGGGTATTGCAATGGCGCCTCTAACAACTGATGACTGCTGTTGTGGTCGGTGGAAGCCAGACACATGGCGAGTCTTGGGTCTGAGGCCCACGAGGCGGACCTGCCGTCTCAATCATGTCGAATCACCGACATCGGCCATCTATTGTTCACGCTAGACATCCACTGGCTCCGAGGCAGTGTAGGGTGTTCAAATGCCCACCCTGGAATCTGTATGACAACAAAGTTGGAGAGCGTTACAGGAGGGAAGCATGGACAACACAATCACAACAAATTCTTCGTCTCACAACTTCAGACGACATTTACTTTATATTACTTCTTACTGGGTGAATGACAATTTCACTGTTACAACATGAACACTGATATTCCCACAATTGACTAAATCAAACTGAATGGCTAGAGAACAGTGCTACATACCTGGAGAACAACGGGAGAGGACGCGTCATGGGACTCTCAACCCCCCCTCTCCCCCGTGATTATATACCCCTGAGTTGCCAGACGTGGCTATCTCACGCAATGACAGAAATTACAAACAAACCAACTGTTACTCATTCAGTTGACAAAGGTCTGGCGAATTACTAAAGTTGATTTGCACAGACTAATTCAAGATTGAGCTTGCCAGTAGAAAGTGGAATAAAAACGTAGTGACAACTGTCTTCACAAGGCGGGACTTACTGGCAGGGATCATGAGTATAAGCGTCGATGGTGAAAAACACGTTTCTCAGGGATGGCTAACCAGCTACCCATTCATGTTTTCGGTCGTGGAGTGTAATAAGAATCATTAGTTAAAACAGACTAGCAGTCAACGTGACCATGACAGTGTTCAGTGAGATGAGGACTTCCAGGTGTATAACTCGGGTAGCCAGACATGTAAACAAGCATTCCCATCTTCCCTCCCGGGCCCGGCCTTGTTTAACCATAAAGGGACCAAACACAGTCGACTCCGGTGCAGGTGAATGGCTGATCTTCTGGATGTACCCGGTCCTCTGGCAGGTTAACTTGGCGTCGGTGGGTAGGCTTCCAATTGCTTCTTCAACAAATTACACACGTACGACGTACGTGGTACTCGGTCGATCAACTTACGGCACTTGGGTATCCAATATGTCTCGCGTAGCACTGCTAGAGTTTGCTCGTGTCCTGGGTGGCTAGCCCTGGTCGAATGTACCTCTTGTACGATAAGTTCTGTGGTTTTTGTCCCTGAGTAGCAGTATGGGGTTCCGTTGGTCTGGATAGAGAGCAGCACGCTTCAGTCGGCCGCCTACTCTGATCAGGCCGTCTGCACCCAGGTAAGGTTCCAATCTGCTTACGTCACCAGTCCTGATGGAGTGTCCTCGTTCCAGCGCGTCCATCTCGTGGGGAAAACCCTCCCTTTGTATCACTTGCAAGACAGTTAATCTTGCCTCATACAACTCGCTGATCTTCAGTCGATCTTCTTGGTGACTTTCTTCCTTTGGATCGCTGAAGCGCCACTGTATGAACCTCCTGAGCCACGCCACACCTTTCAGTAGCTTATGCCATGAGGAGTACCTTGCCCATAGCCATTTTAGGGTACTCTACCCCTGGTCAGTACCCGTTGCCAATACTGTTGCATCTCCTTTTACCTCCCGGTTAGAAATCGGCTTTGGGTTCTTTGGCCAATTGTATTTTCTCCCAACAGGAGAAAGGGGGGTCCCTGAATCCATGTCGCCAGACCACAAGCGGCAAAAGCTAGGTGACTGTGAACTCGAGGCCATCATGTCGGCACCGAAATCAACGACCAGTGGAGCTAGACCATGGGAACCCGAATCCAGCTCGAGAGTTATGGATAAAAGGGCTGGAAACAGGCAGGCTGCACTGGTGACCACAAACCGAGAAAACCCGTATAAATGGGCCAGAGATATTTACAGTCGAGAAAATAACCAGTGTGAGGGGCCTGAAGATTACGACATATGACTAGCAGATCCAGGCAGAGTTGCATTCCCTATATTAAAGGTCAAGGTCGGGGAGATAAGGCGTGAAACGAATACAACAGTGATCACCGGAGCACTCTTGGACTCAAGCAGCAACAGGTCTTACTGCACCGAGAGCTTAGCCAACCGACTACGAATAACAGGGACGTTAGACCTCAACAACAAATTGATTGGAGTCCTCATTAGGTTCCGACAAGAAGGGGTGGCACTCAAGGCTGATATCGAGGCAATGTTCCACCAGGTACGAGTACTGCCATAGCATCGAGACGCCCTGCGCTTCCTGTGGTGGACAGACGACCAACTATCGGGAGACCCGGATGAAGGTACATCTCTTCGGGGGAGTGTGGAGCCCATCATGTGCTGGATACGCACTACGACAAACATTCCAAGACCACGGGCAAAGGCTCCATGAAGAAATTAAAAAAGCAAGTCATAACTTCTATGTCGATGATCTGCTTCTTTCAATAGCATCACCAGGGAAGGCGGCGATAGTCACTCACCAACTGAGGCAGTTGATGAAGAAAGGCGGATTCAGACTTACAAAATGGATCTGCAACCACAAAGGGGTCCTCAGAGCAGTCCCACAAACAGAAAGGGCCATGGAAGTGAAAGAAGTACTTTTGAAGGATGACAGGCTCCCAGCTGAACGAGCATTGGGAATCATGTGGGATTTAGAGAATGACGAACGTGCAGTTCGAATTCAAATCCCGACGAAGCCAGAAACGAAGCGAGGTCTCCTGAGTGCGGTCAGTTCCATATACGACCCAATAGGAATCAGCGCTCCAAGCACCATACAAGCCAAAATCATATTCCAGGACGAGTGCAGTCAAGGCATCGGGTGGGGTGAGCAAATGACCAAACACAACAGAGCTGCTAAATGAATTTCCCCACTTGTCTCAAGTACGCATCCCTCGATGTTACCAGCCTCAGTGCGCAACTCCAATAACTAGGGTACAACTGCACCACTTCTGAGACGCCATCCAGCAAAAATACGAGGCTGTATTCTACCTCAGGATCACAATTGGAGACAGAGCCCACTCTACCTCCTTTTGTGTGTGGCAGAGCCAAGCTAGCTCCCCTGAAACAGCAAACCATACCTCGGCTCGAGCTATGTGCGGCAGTGTTAGCGGCCAAAGCAGACAAACAACTGAGAGAAGACTTAGAGTTGCAGATCGACAGATCAGTTTTTCTGGACAGACAGCATGGTCACCCTTCACTGTCATGATCGTGATGACGGCTAACCTAAAAACCTTAAGGATTCATATTACGCTCAAACGTCCTTAAAACCTTCTGAGTCCCCCAGTGGAAACGTCCTCCATTTTCTCTGTTTCCTTGTTGACGTCATCGAGAGGCCGTCTTTGTCTGAAGGAAACTTTGAATATAATCCGCGGATTTCGTAGCAAGACGCTGTATGTTGGGACCTGTTGCCATCCAACCCTTTGTAATCAATTTAATTTTTGCTTTTGATAGCTCAGTCAGAGCATTGTTAGTGAAGATAATAGTAGGGAATGAAACTGAGTTAATAGTCTCAGTTTCAACGTCACAGTGTACAGTAAAGTAATTCATCGAAATAGAAGTAGGTGGAATCCCTGACCTAGTTTGAGTGAGGGTGCCGCGGGCATTTCAACCGTTAGTAAGTGCTCGCCCCTTCGTCCATACAAGTAGGTCATTCCACTCCGTGATGTAATTCGCCATTCTTTAAGTGATTTGACCCAATTATTAGTTGATTGTGCAAGTGTTACAGTAACGTAGTTGATGTGCTTTGAGTGAAGTAATGTTTACGTCTTTAACGTCCCCTAAAACGTGATGTCGTTGTCACAGTTAGTAAGTGCTCGCCCCTTCACCCATACAGGTCCCTAACGCAGCCTAGGCCGTGTCTGTAGCGTGGATGTTGTTTCCACTAGTCTGGAGAGATGTCTGAGGGCCAGTAGGATCAGTTATCTTCGTGAGACCAGACTACTCTGACCCAATAGGCATTTCAGTTAGCCTGTGTAGGATGTATTGGCGGATGGCAAAGCCAACTCCATATATGCGGTTTCTCTCCGCAGTAGGCTTACCCTTCCAGAAGAAGGTGTAGCCAGACCCCCGTTCTGTGAGTTGGCCCTCATACGGGAGCCGGGACGTACTGATGGCTGCTATGTTGATGTTATACCTAGCCAGATCTTTTGCCGCAAGGGCAGTTCTTCTTTCAGGGCGTGCATTTGTGCCAGTATCCAGAAGGGTCCTGACATTCCATGCAGTGACCATAAGAGGTTGTATGGTTTGATTTTGTTTGGACCTGAGTTTGATTGTGTTTTTGCCACATAAGGATGACCTTAATGGGTGCTGTTTCCCAGTCAGGTTGGGTTTAGGCAGGCTATGTTTAGGCACTTTTTCTAGCCCCTTCCCTGTGTGGGGTGAGCAGAGTCACTCCTTGTAAGGGCTGCTCAGTCACACAGACAGGACCGGTTTGCACTGCTGCCTAGATCCCAGTGCATAAACGACCATCTTATCTGTGCCGCCCATGTACAGAGTTGTGACTAGAGACTCCCGGCAGTCATCTCTGCCTGTCCCCGTCGCCTCTCGTCCGACGCCATAGGACTTTTGGGGGTGTATAGGGGGTTTAGATGATGATGAGAGGTATGATGAGCTGGGTGATGGATGCGCATGAGTTGATTTATATGGTGAGGCAGGAGCGCAGGCTGCAACCATACATCTTGGCTCTTCCTTTTCCTGATCCAGTGTTGCAAGTGTTGCAATGACCGGGGAGAGGGAGAGTTGCAATGAACTGCCGATAGTCCGGTTTGTTGGGTTTCCCCTTGGTAGCCTGTCCATCAGGCATTGCCTTCGTCCGCCAGTGTAGTCGTTGGGTTTCCATGGTGGTCACCTCTTCCGCCTACACCGCCGTTGTAGTCTTGTTGGAGTAAGCATGTCTGCCTGATGCGGGGCTCCACTGCAGATTTTTCGTTTGGGGTTTACTCCCATAGCCTTATACCTGCCAAGGTTAATCCACAAGGCAGCGGGGCGGTGGTTGGTAGGCGCCAGGACGTGTCCACATGCCAGTGAGCTTATGCGCCATCCCTCTGGGGCCCACTGCTACTCCAAGATCCCCTGCTGATCTAGCCTGGGCCCATGAGGCACACAGTTACCGTGTGTTGCCACGAGGAGGCACAGCAGGGGTCTTGATGGTTAGGAGGCTGTGTACTGGCAGGGGAAGACTTAAGTAAGTTGCTTCCCTGTTCGCCACGAGGGCTAGCCAGTGGCGGCAGCTGAAAGCGAGAGAGAGCAAGAAGTGCTTGCAATTTAACACTCACATAATGCTGCCACACTAGACGCATTTCACCTCCCTGTGTAGTGTGTGTGTGTGTATGCACACACACACACACACACACACACACACACTCACGCAAGCAAACACACACACACACACACACACACACTAACCATAAGCACCATAACTGAGAGCCACATCTGATAACAGATTAGATATAATTTTTATATTAGCGGTGAGGGAACAGTGTCACCGGCAATGAGCTGGTGGCTGCTTATGGTGTAACTGTAACGTGTACTGTACATCTACATCAACGTCCCCAGACCAGACATCACTCTACTTAGCGCTAGGTGGGTGTTATACCGGTTTTAGATTTTAAGTGAGTGCTAGTTTGTTAGTTATGAGAGTATGTTTCACGCGTACTCTCATAACATTGTTATTGTACTATATGGCAGTTGTGTTTACATAATGCCTATGACGACATTATTCATTCACAGCCAATTATACAAACTAACGTCGTTGTCATTTAAAACATTTTGATGTGGGTTTAAATGCACGTGAACATCTTTAATGCGTTGTAGTCTGTGTTAGAACAATGTAGTTTAGCTGAGAATGTTATTAAGAAAAAAGTTGACGTTGCCACACACACATGGCATGTGTGCATCGAATTTCTTGGATAATGAACTATTGATAGTTCATGGTTATTTCCATATGATTGATGTATATTTCTTAATTTTGTGGAATATATCAACACTGACGGTAATGTTGTGACCAAGAGTTACACAACAATGATGGTAATGTTATTGTTGACAACACAGTGGAAGTAGATCCACAATGGAAACGTGGATAAGACAAATCTTGATACAATCACACAGTGGATTAGTGGATGTCATGTTTTTGACCTGACTTCATGTTTTGTAGGTCACCCTTTATACATAAGCCTCTCTGAGTCATTGTAATTCAGTTGCCTCTGAAGATGTCTTGAATAAAGACGAAAGCTAAGGTGCGCCATTGTTTCCCCTTTTTCTGTGTGCATATATATATATATATATATATATATATATATATATATATATATATATATATATATATATATATATATATATATATATATATATATATATATATATATATATATATATATACAATAATATAATATATCAGCATATACCTAGATCACGCGTAGTGATATATATATATATATATATATATATATATATATATATATATATATATATGCTGATAACCACAAGGAAAAAGAAAAGACGAAGTTCCCAAGCGCTCTCGTGTAATTCACATCTTCAGGGGTGAGTACAGACTAAGAAGAAGTACATAACAAGGTATATATAATAATAATAATAATAATAATAATAATAATAATAATAATAATAATAATTAACGGTTTATTGAAAGAGCTTGGCAGCCAGAAGGCTGAAAATATACAGTTACATATTTGGGGAATGGGTTTCGAATTACAAATAATATACAAGTAACATAAGTGATACAACTAAGACATATAATAACTAGATGGGGAAAAGCTCAAACTACAGTTCGACAACATAGTGACAGTGCAAGGAGTAGTGTTTACTGGAATTGAATACACTGGTTTATTACAAGTTATTGATAATTTTTGAAATGGTTGGGACTGGGCTGTTCTTATAGCGATCAGTTCGTGCACGTATGGGCTGGATGCGGTTGTGGTGTCCGAACAGCGATTCTCGGACTAGAGTCTCAGGTGGTGAAGTAGGAGCCGGTGTCGAGGATGGTGTAAAGCTTCTTACCAAATTTGCAGATGAGGTCGTGGTGATGGTCAGTGAGTCGAAAAGAGGGTCACTGTGTTGAGCGCTTCTTGATATGGAGTAGAAGGGGAGAGAGAATAATCTGCATGTACCTCTTTTGCACTTTTTCTAGGTGTTTACGTTGTGTGGCATTTGGGGAGGAAGACCAGGTAGGGGAGGCGTAGGTGAGCTTGGGAAGTATGAATGTTGAGTAAACACTGAGGAGCTTGGATGCAGGAATTCCGAGGGACTTGAGTCGGCGGAGGAGGTGGAGACGGAAACTGGTGGTTTTGACAACTTTATTGATGTGTGGTTTTCAATTTAGTTTGTTGTCTATGATGACGCCGAGGAGCTTAGTGGAATCTACAACCTGGAGTGTGTTGGGACCTAAAGTAATGGAAGGAGGTGAGACAACGTCGGAGGAGAGGTTGATGTGCATAACCATGGTCTTGGTATGGTTGATGGTGACATGGTTGTTGAAATTGTTGGCCCAGGGGAGGGTGGGGAATCAAGTCCCACAATGGTTGAGTATTAGGTAATAACCCTACTATCTCACCCTCCTCTCTCTCTCTCTCTCTCTCTCTCTCTCTCTCTCTCTCTCTCTCTCTCTCTCTCTCTCTCTCTCTCTCTCTCTCTCTCTCTCTCTCTCTCTATATATATATATATATATATATATATATATATATATATATATATATATATATATATATCACTGTAGGTGCGCGTGATCTGGGTATACTTGTACAGGAAAGAAAAGAAAACACGAAAAGTTCCCCAAAGCGCTTTCGTGTAATTCACATCTTCAGGGGTGGTACAGGCTATGCTCACCCCTGGTAATTACAAAGCACTGGGCTCCTTTTTTACGGGAATTAGCCCACCCGGGCACTGGTCAAACGACCCACAACGGAGCCTGGGGGCGAAAAAAAAAGAACGGAAAGAAATTGTAAATATAGAAAAAAGGTTATACTGTATTAATCTACACCACGAAGATGCCGGAAAACCAGCTTTTTAAAGTGAGACAGATTGTAAGAGCATGGAAACACAGAAGAAGACAGAGCATTCCACAGTTTGGCTGTGTGAGGAAAGAAGGAGGTACTATAACGGGATATTCTCGTGTGACCGACATCCACAGAGAAATGGTGGGCACCGCGGGCAAGACGTGTGTTACGAACCCACGGCCTTGCCGGCGGTACACAGGCTGCCAAATCCACTGAACATTGCCCGTTAAAGTACCTGTAAAAAGAGAGAGTGAAGCACCATTGCGGCGAAGAGAAAGGGGAGAGAGATTGTCGACTAAAGGAGGAGAGTTAATAAGACGAAATGCCTTTGATTCCACCCTATCTAATAGTTGGACAGAAGAGCCAACCCAGATATAATAGCAGTACTCCAAGTTATGACGAATGAATCCCTTATATACTTGGAGCAACTGCTCAGGAGTGAAGTAGCTGCGGCATCTGTACAGCATTCCCAACTTTCGGGAGGCAGCTTTAGTTATACTAAGGATGTGTGATTTCCAGGACATATTGGAGGAAATGGTGAGGCCTAACATATTTATTTCAGAATTTGGGAGGATGATAGCGTCTTGAAATGTAATTGGTGGGAGATCGTCTACTTTACAAAGTGTAATTGGTAAATATTGAGTTTTGTTACTATTGAACTTAACCTACAGTGATTTACTTGCATATATATATATATATATATATATATATATATATATATATATATATATATATATATATATATATATATATATATATATATATATATATATATATATATATATATATATATATATACTCGTATATATGAGGATTGCTGCAGAAGAGCAGGCTTACTATAAGAAGTTTCGGGTTTCAACTAAATATACATTATTCATCAAACTAAACTTTAAAGACTTACAAACATAACTTGTACAGGTGTTTATATTTACTTTGTGCATGATACTTTTTATGCAGAAAATGTATGTGTTCTGAGAATTTGCTTATATGCACAAATCAATGCAAATTTTTCAGTTTTCAAACTTCAGAATCACAACATGCATATGAAAGGTTATACAAAAAAATGTAGGCCTATATTAATAGACCCTACAATATAATTCAAGTGAGTGCTCACATGAGTAGTAAACAATTACTTGCAATCTATATAAAATACTTAAATTTGACTCAAGACTTCAATATAGATCAATTAAATTCTTGGACAACTTACAAAGTACTTCTGTTCCTGGGAACAAGAGGTTATGCACTGCCTTCGCACTTTTGCAAACGCAACATAAATTCTTAATAATTCCTATAATTTATATGAGGCTTCATATTTCTATATGTCGGTGTACTATAATCGCCATATAATTCAGCATTCCCTGAATGAATTAGAGAATCCCTTAAGTAAGATTTTCTACAATATACAGAAATTCACTGAGAATCAATCATGAATAGTAGTCAATATATCATAAAACTTCTGTCTAACGTTCTATATTAAAACATGCACAACTCACTAAATAACTCCACTAAATATTGCATAAACATGAGACTCTTAAGCACAGTACTACTTAATGAGTGAGGTTTCTGTTATGCAATCTCTGACATAGTTAGTTACCTTTAAACTAAACATTAAGAGAATAACACACCTCTACACATTAATAAACACCCAATGCCTCAGTGGCACCTCTAAGGAAGTAAAATCAGCTCTATTACTCTCTTGGAAAATGTACTTGTTTAAACTTAGTCAAACACATTAATCAGTGTATTATAGTCTCTGAGAAATCACTTAACTCATATTTTGCTTCATTTCTTAATTCATAATAAGAACTAGAATTATTTCTTACGTGACAACCTTTTGCCATGCTACACACAACATATTCCACGAAAAGTATCACTCATCTCAGAGACATTACACAGTTAAGAATATAAGAATGGTGGAAACTGCAATTGGGCAGTCCCGTTTACACCCAACCCCTATCAGCTCAACCTTTCCAGTGTGTTCTAGCTAATGATTATGTTTGGTAACTTGTTCCACTCATCACTCCTCTATTTCCAAATCAGTGTTTATCTATCACACGTCTAATTTAAAACCATTGCTATGAGTTCGTTCCTGGTTGGATAATTTATAATTTAAGTACTGTACTTTTGTTATATCACTTTTCTTTAACCCTGACTTCCATTTATACACCTCAATCATATCGCCTCTCACTCCGCGTCTCTGGAGGGAGTGCCATTTCAGACGCTTTAATGTGTCGCTATACTCAAGGTTCCTAATGCCCGGGATTGGTCTTGTCATCCTCCTCTTTATGCTTTCCAGGGATTCGGTATTCATTCTGTAGTAGTGTGACCAAAACTGAACAGCGTTATCCAAGTGAGGTCTCACAAGCGCAAGATATAGTTTTAGGATAACCTCGTTAGTCATATAACTAACACTCTTTTTTTATGAACCCAAGTACTTTGTTAGCCTTGTTTCGAGCAAATACACATTGTTGTCTTGGTTCAGGATTCCTAATTATCACTACCCCTAAATCTTTCTGACAGTCGGATTTTCTATATCAATGTTGTTCATGTGATATCTGGTTTCTCTGTTTACAT